GTTAGCCCAGATTACTCTCATCCTTAAAAGTCGTGGTCTCATACAGTTTGTAGATGGCACTAGTAAGTGTCCTTCGGCTTTTCTCCAAGTTACTGATGAAAAAGGCACAACTTCTGAAGTTGTCAATTCTGCCTATAAAGAATGGATTCAAACAGATCAAATGGTCCTCAGTTGGATCAACGGTTCCCTCACACCAACCATTTTGGGTATGGTTGTTCACTCTACCTCTGCTCGTACCACTTGGTTATCACTTGCAAACCGATATGCTTCCCATCTCACAACGGCATTCTTCAATTACGTAGTGAGCTCTTGCGCACCTCTCGCGGTATCTGACTTCTTGGACAAATTAAATGGAATTGTTGATAGTCATGCTCTTGCTGGGCATTCTGTTCCTGATAGTGACTTGATTTCTATCATCATGAATAATGTCGGACCCCTATATGAGACCACCGTGAGCTCTGCCTAGGCTCGCGAATCTCCCATTTCGTATCATGATCTTGAAGCTCTCTTGTTGAGCGCAGAATGTCGTCTTCATGCTCAAGGAGTTGTTGCTCCTGATGCCACTTCTCAAGCTTTGTACGCTAGTCATAGTAGTGGATTTTTTGGTCGTGGTGGCCTCCGTGGTCGTGCTACTTTTGCTGGTTTTGATGTTAGTCGTGGATTCACATCCGTCGATCGTAGTGGTCGTGGTTCCTTTTCTCCTTCATCTGTTGCTGGTTCTGGTAGCAGGTTTTCTAGCCGTTCTCCATCCATTCTTGGGCAGCGTCAAGTTGATGACACGTCAAAAGATGATTCATTATTATGTAGATTCTGTTTATCACACCCCCGCAAGCTGAACGGTGAGGGACGAACCGGAAGCTTGGACACGAGGGTATAAAAGCGAGTTCAATACTTAACTCTCACTCGACCTGATTTGGCCTTTGCCATCAATCAAGTGTGCCAATACTTGCATTGTCCAACCTCTACTCATTGGATGACAATTAAACGGATTCTTCGCTACTTGAAATTCACCTTCTCGCATGGTTTGTTTTACACACCTGGCTCACTCACTCTTACTGCATTTTGTGATGCGGATTATGCCGATGATCCCGATGATCGAATCTCCACTGGCGGTCATTGTATTTACTTGGGTCCCAATCTTATTACTTGGAGTTCAAAAAAGCAACGGGGTGTGTGTCGTTCAAGTACAAAAGCCGAATATCGTCAACTAGCCTACACGGCAGCTCATCTTTCCTGGGTTCGCTCCTTATTCAAAGATTTGCGTCTCTCTCTCACTTGTCCCAAGCTCTGGTGTGACAATCTCAGTGCCATTTCCCTTGAAGCAAATCCTGTTTATCATACTCGCACACGACATGTTGAAGTCGACTATCATTATATCCGTGAAAAGGTGGTTCGCAAAGATATTGATGTAAAATATATCTGCACTTCTAATCAGATTGCAGATGTGTTTACTAAAGGATTGTCTACTGCTCGCTTTTCTACCCTCGTATCCAAGCTTCCGGTTCGTCCCCCACCGTTTAGCTTGCGAGGGTGTGATAAACAGAATCTGCATAATAATGAATCATCTTTTGACGTTTCATCAACTCAAAACTCCTCTCCACACTCTTATCCTGTGTCATGATTATGTTATGCACTATTATTAAACTATTGTTATATAGTTATCTTTCTGCTGTAATCTATTATTGTATAGTCATCATTATGTCTCTTGTAAACAATATTTATATGACAATCAATACACACGCCTTGCATCCAAGGCTTTCAACTCATCTCAATATTATTCCTTCAGTTACAAAATTTGAGGATGCTAGTTCTTCATGACAGTGATTTTTGCGAGTTTTTGCCTGCTTTGGGGAAGTTGCGGTGCCTTGATATTTTGGAAATAAGGAGGATGGGATGTGTGAAAAAGGTGTGGGAGTTGAATTTTTAGAACCGTAGCAGACATCATCATATTCGTTCTGAAACGGGAACAACTTTTGTTTCAAGATATAAAGGTGTGAGAAGAATGAGAAGGAGGAGAAGATCAGAACTGATGATGGCAACGGGCTCTGCTATTCTCATCCACCTTTTGCTAAATTGGTAATTAACCCAAGATATTTACTTTGTTTTGTTTTGTATTTCCTCTCAAGTTCCTTTTTTATCTATGATCATCAGATTCCTTTGTTTCTTTCTTGTTTCGTATTCTCCGGTAATCACTAGGAAGATCTTCTTAGAGAAGCAATGTCAAGTGGTTACATCCAGCTTTTGCAGTCGTACGCCCAACACCACATAATCTTCTGTGAGAAGGTAATTTCCTTTCTTTTTCTTTTTTTCCTAGGCTGTTCATATCAACTCAACATTACTATTCATTAAATTCCTTCACGTCTGTCAAACTTGAGTTGTAGAAGAAATAGTGCAATTACTGCTATTGGCAATGACTGCTACCTTACTTGTATAACCTGATCAAGATGGACTTGGAAAGATACCCTGCGATTCATGACAGACTTGTTCATCACCAAGCGTATATGCACTCATTGGAAAAGTTATGTTTCTGTCATGCCTTCTAAACCTGGCTTAAAATTCTAACCCAAAACAGTATATTGTCCTTTAATCTCTCGCATCCTTCCATGTGAATGCAGGGGTGTCAGGCAGGATTGAAACCTTAAAAATCTCATTTGACAGGAAGTATTAATGGCAGCAGGATTGAAACATTCAAAATCTCTCGCACCCTTCCTTTAATTGTTTCCATTCGAGAATTTTGAATATCAATTAAGTGACCTGAGTAGTTCCCGGAAGTATTAATTAGTAGTATGTAAGCTAAGGGCAGCAGGAATAGACTTTAATCATGTATATAAGAACCTTATTGTGCATATGGTTGGAGGTAGATGTGGGTTTCCACATTCTCTTCAACTGTAGCTTTATAAATTCTCTCTGCTTCGTGTTGAGTTTTGTTCCAAAATCTATTTTGGAATGAAAAGCTTCCCAGGCATGGTTCTTCTGTCTCTTTATTAGAGATTTGGTATTCAATGGAAATAACAGATTGTATCCATCTGCTTAGTAATACTGATTTCCTTGGTTCTTTGTTCCCCAAGAACAAACTACTTATTTTTGGTTCTTCATTCGGTTGGGGCCTGATATTTCTACAAAAGAGTGTAAATTTGTGCTTCATACAAATTTGGCAATGAGAATACAAGATCACAGTAAATTTTACAACACATTGATATATTTTTGAAGTTCCATAGGAATAATGGGGCAGGACATTACAAATGCATCAATATGACACGAAATCTTCCAAGAATACTGCCTCAACGAATGGTGTTGAGATGGTTCGTAGTTCAGTGAATTTTGAAATCTTTGAGAAGGGAAGGGGAGAGGGAGTATTATATTGGGTTGCCTCAAGATTGTCGCCTATGTGAATCGAACCCAGGTGCACTTGAGGGGGGAGGGGGAGAGTCTGACCCACTTTTTCACTGTGATATCACCCTATGTGCTAGGGTCTCCTAGGTTTACTCAAATAGTGTTGTATTTTGGTTAGGGCTCCGTTAGGAGAGAGACTTCCGTATATATGGGCTTTGGTACGCTTTTATGTCTTGTTTGGCCTTTGGTTGGCTTATGTTTGGGCACCATGCTTAGATCTCTCAAATTTGATTTTGCTGAGCCTACTTTTCTGCAACTGCCCTATTGTAATATTTCCTTGTTAATGGAACTTCTCGACAAAAGAAAAACAAACAGAAAATAAAGCATGAAAGGAGACTTGCTTAAAATATTGCTAATGTTACTAGGAACTTGGAAAGCTAGTAGGAATGGAGAACATTGAAAACGAAGGCAAATTTTGTTGGAAGCTAGAGAGCAAGAGAGCAATGTTCTTCTCAACCGTGCTCCCAAGTTTGCATGGAGATGGTTACTTATACAAAAAGGAAGGATCCTAAGAGATTACATGATATTTATTTTACCATCTTGGGCATTCCTGGTATTTTATAGAGGAATCTTGGATGTACACAATTATTGGACTGCCGATATTAAACTATAAAGACAGAGAAGTTTACTGAAACAAAAGTAGCTACTTTTCTTGCTCAAATTTTGTTGTGGCTTGCCTCTATCCTTTCGCTGACAAGGAGAAATAACTTTTATTTGTGAAAAGATGCTTCCCTCGTGGATACTTTCTACTGGATTGGGATACTAAGTTGGGCCGCATCCAGCATCCCCGTTTCAACTAAGTTTTTCTCTATATCGGAGAATACCTATAATAGTTTCCTCAAATAAAAGAAAAAAAGACACTCGCATCAATGCTTGAGTCGTGCAGGATTCCACGGTATTAGGAAGCTCCCTCAGACTCACCTTCCTAGTTTGCAAGCTTTGCAGCAGCAGCATGGATAGAAAATTATACGTTTAAAAGCATTATGGAATGTAGGGAAAATTGTGTATGCAGTAATTTGCACATGAAAGTGGTTTTCAAAATGTATATTATAAGTTAGAAGTAGGGTTTTAGAAATTCTCTCTATGCTCATGCCAAGCTTATCTATTGTTGCACAGAAGAAAATGGGAATAGCCTTCCTAGGATCGGGTCTATGAAAATAACTGTTGTATACCTTCTTTATCTTTTTTACTTCACATTGTGCATTTTAATTATTTACGATATCGTTTTTTTTCTTATGACATTGATTTCCTTTTTTATTGTTTTGTGGTACATGTAAGAGTGTACGCATTTTATTTGACGCTTTTTCTAATGCCACAGTTTGACTTTTCATCATAGATTCATAGGCTGCGTCCACATTTCTGCATAAAAAGAAAGGGTTATGTTACGGAGACCACATTATTGTAACACATTGTCTGCCACCCCTCTAATAGAAGTAGAGTCGGGCAAAACAAGTATGTCGCACCGCTATTAGACAAGTGATACACAATATTATACAATAATGTTGTCTCCCTAGCATTTGCCTAAAGAGAAACCAAAATCTTAAAAATGGGCAATGTGGTACTATAATGTCGTCTCCCTAACATTTACCTCAAGAGAAACCGGAATCTTAAAAAAGGGCAAAGGTCCATTATTATCCTACAATGACTTGCAGTTTAACATCCAACTAACAACAGCCGAAGTCAAGGAAATGAAAACTGAGACAGCAACGGAAATTGACATAGAAAATTAACAAGAATTATATATTCATGATCAATTGGAAGACGAAAGCATAAGGGAGAAACATTAAACTCTTCCTTTCTGACGCAGAAAATAAATACATGATCACTGCCAATACTCCTACAGCATTTACCTTACTGATATTCTGAACCAACATGTTAAATCTAAATATCTGCACATCATTCATTCCTTGAGTAAATTACATTGCATCAAGAACACAAACTGCAGCAATACATAACAAAATGTGTTAAAAGAAAAACAAACAAAGAACAAAAAGGCAAAATTGTGTCAAAGGAATATAAAAACCACTCTTAGGAAAAATAGCAAGTAGTCAAACGAAAAATACCTATATTTGGAATGGGCCAGCAAGCCAAGCATGTAAAAGAACTTGTGCTCTGCCAGCCTTTTGATCATCTCTGTGCTTGATCTGAACCTGCAGTTCCAACTTGAGTAGCTGGCACACTGCTTGCTGACCCATTTTCAACGGGTGGAGGCACGCCCCATTTGCCTTCAGATTCGAGGGGCTCAAAGACATGAACAGCACCATCCGATAGTCCTAATGCAAACTGATTTGGTTCTTGTGGATGTGCCGCAATCACAAGGGGCTGTACGTTATTGCTGCAAAAGGGGAAGCAAAGTGCTGGAGTCAAGAACTGTCAACACAGCTATCACAAACCCGGGAGGATTTAGATTTCCCAAACCAGTATCTTGACATTTATACAGAAAAGTAACCAAAGAGGCATGCTACAAGTAAAATGACTGGTGCCAAGATTTCCGTTTTTTTCAGTCTGAAGTCCAAAGATGATCTCCTTAGTTAAAGCAAAGATGCATGGATGAGTTAATGTCTGCATTTCGATATGATTTTCATCAAATGTGTAGTTAAAGCTCATATACCTATATAGATTGGAAGAAAACTTCTGTGCTTAGAATGCATATAGAGATTATGACACTAATGTATGGTTGAAACCTTGAAGACAAGTGTCGTTAAATTCCTATTTTATTAGGCTGTGTAAGCAACCAAATTTTGGGTTTTTATAGAAGTGGTAAATTAATCATACAAGTGGGGAGCTAAAATTGGTAATTTTTTCTTAAAAACGTGACAAAGTTCAGTATTCGTTTCGTTATATGCAACAATTCTAGCTATACCATGAGGTTACATGATAGCATAAACCAACCTCCACCCAGGACAGGGGCACAACCAGATTTCTAAGTGTATGTTCCAAAACCTAACATTAAAATCATGTTTAAACTCTTGTCAAGCAAAATCAGGTTTAAACATATCCTGGACTCGTAAAATAATACTGAACAAGTACTACCCAAATTTAAATCTTGAAAAGCACCATTGAAATAAAGGTGGAAAGTCAGCTGAAGTTGGGCAACAGAAAGGGGGAATTACCTGACATTAGCAGGCAGATAAACAGAAGGATTAATACGACACCGTAGTCTGAGATTTGCAGCACTAAACACACACACGGTTGCATCTAAAAAGCTGGCATATACAAGCTGGCTGTCGCATGAGAATGTTGCATGGGAAATTGGTGCAGCAGAATCACGTGGAACCCACTAAACAAGCAAGAGGAAAAGGAATTTAAATTTAAAAAATAATTGGAAGGACACTCATAAATCTCCATGACATGCACCTAGAGACAAATGTACCTGCTTTACACATTCTAGTTTTGTTGTTTCATATATGGCAAGTTGAGTCTCATGCACAACCAAGAAGTGCGTCTGGTCCTGATGAAACTGCACACGCGTGTCTGACTGTGAAGCTGTTGTTCTCCCAGCTGGAAGCTGCAAGAATCTGGACTTCTGCTTTTCCCATCCATCAGAATTCCATACACAAAGCTGAAGGAGAAAAAATAAATAATAACCAAACTACTATTAGTGATTTCAGTATTACTTCACAAGGACCTGATTGCATTTACTGAGAAATACTTTTGTCATGGTAATTCCAGATTTAACAATTGACTTAAAACTTTTTAAGGAGAAAAATGGAGTCACTGGAAAGTTTAGTGAACAAGCTTGAATAGGAAAAATAAATGCATGTTGAATCAGAAACCAGAACACTGAACACACTTAAAAAAAATAACTATTAATAAAAGGCCATAGATTTGCAAGTAGCCCAGGTTAACAGTGAATTTGTTTCGATGCCTGTCAGAGAAATTATCTCACTTTGGTAATATAAGCATATTTGTTGCAGGAAACATATTTGGGAGTTTGATTCAACTTCAGTCTCCCGCAGGAGGAAAACCATATAAGAAAATATTAATTCAAGGTACAAAAGCTGATTAGGTTCTAATACCTGAGCATCTGCTCCTGATGAAACTAGCACATTTAGTACATGAGAGAATGCTAGGCCAGTTATTCTTTTAGAGTGACCCTTAAGCTTGCTCTTAACCTGCATCAAGAAAATTAAAACTAAATAATAGCCATCTCAAACAGCTGGTGCTGAGATACATTGTCCACAGATTGCATCATACCTCATCTACACGGACATTATATATCTGAATAGTGGAATCATCCATTCCAATAGCTATAATATTGTTATCTTGAGGGTGGAAAGCAAGAAACGTTGCAGCAGGCGGCGGCGGCATGAAAGTTGTCATTGTCTGTAGTTGCCAACAAGAAATTTCAATTAGTATAAAGAAAAAAAAAATATATATATATATATGGAAAAATCAAGCTAACTACTCTGAAGGCGTGTTACCTTAAATGTCATCATATTGAACAGGGAAATCTTTCCACCAGATGCTGACATTACATAAGAATCATTCTTGGACAAAGCAAAGCAAGGAACAGCTTCTTCAGGACTTGTGTCAGCAATATCATTGGTCATTAGAATGCCACTTGAGGGTTGCCAGAGTTGAGGTGAAACACTAGCAGTTGCCTGCAGTGTACATCAGTTGTATTGATAATATGAAACTCATCTTTTAGATTTATTATGAAAGAACTACAAATGATTGATGGAAACTACTATGCATCTACACACCTTGCTAGTAGAGTTACGCTCGCTCCTCTGCCATTTCCAGAGCAAATGTATGGCATTTGATGCTAATGCCAAAATTGCACTTCCTGAATTAGTATAGATTAACCTAGATATCTGAAAAACAAAATCAAGGAAGCTAATGAGAATATATTGAAGACTGAATGTGTCCCATTCAGAAATCCCATTGATACAGCATCATAAATGCAAATGAGAATTTAGACAGCCCATGTGGGAACCACTTTAAGTCCATGTGGACCCCACGGAAATGTAAATAGAAAGTTTCTTCTTTACATCAAGCCTTTCTAAGACCTGAATTAATTGACTCTTTAACAACTCTTGATAGTTACTCTTAGATTACCCTTTGGGTTATTCATTTGTTTTATATTGAACAACCCTTTGATCACCATAGACATTTCTCTTTGGATGAAAAGGAGCCATTGTCAAACTTGTGCAAACAACCTTAGTCTTAGTCTTCCAAAGAGGATGTTTCTTTTATAGCTAAGTTGTTGCTGCTGCATGAAGTTGGCTTAATCACATGCTTCGATGTGTTTGATCAAACGATCATATATGATTTCCATGTTTTTAAGTATGAAAATACGAAATCATGGGAAGCACCATTCTGAAAATAAAATATTTCTCGTTCATATGTTAGCCCCTATGAACAGAATTATCATTTAGAGCAACTTAAGGTCATGGCCCAGAAAAAGGTCATAATGTTTTCCACACACAATGAATATAGTAAACTCTGGAACACAATGAAATATCTATAGTGTGATGAAGCAGGACCAGGGATATTACAAATCCATCAATATGACGTGAAATCTTCCAAGAATAAAGGCAGATAGCATATATCATACCTTGGTTACTCTCATGTTTTCAGGCAGCCTCAAGGAACGACATTGAGATGGTTCGTTGATTTCTGTGAGTTTCCAAATCTTTGATTTGTCATTGGATTCTTCAGCTATTCTAGGTTTCACATCCCCCAAGTTCCGAGCATCCCCATTCTGGTATGAATAATAGTTTGATTAATTAGAAGAATCATAACTGCAGGTATTTCAACTCTAAATACATATAAATAAAAGAAGCAATTTGAAATAAAAATGCATATGGAGCAAAGTAATGATGGTCCAATATATACAAAAGAAGATGCACATCCAACGAACCATTCCAGAAATAGAAACTGCAGATGCACTTCTGTCAGCCAGACCAGCACTGGTAGCAGCAGCTGCTGCTGCTGCAGCAACTGAAATAGGGTTTATTGCAGGCTGAAAGAGGTCGAGAGTTAGCAAGAGCTAATTTAATTAAGGATAAGGTACCAAAAAAACTAATCATATGACGAAAAAGAAAAAAAACTACCTTTGTCACAACTTCAGAGGTCCTTGATGCATCGTAGGAAAGATGATTCTCAAATGTTCGTAACAACCGAATTCCATCTGCATTTGCCAATACTTTAATCCCATTCTCATTGGCAGAAACAGCCAAGAGACTGCCATCCTTGTTAAAGCGGATACGAGGGCTTGCCTAGGAATTAAGAAGGGTAAAGAAGATGAGCAACTACTATTTTAGATCGCTGTTATTTCAATTTACTTGAAGGGAATGAACCTACTGGGAGGCCTCCATCAGCTTCAACAGTTGTCAGAAGCTGAATATTGTCCATGTCCCAAAATTTAATAGAGAAATCATCACCAGCAGCCAAAAATCGGTTTTTAGTAGTATCGAATTGCACAACACCAAAAGATCGCTTGCGGAAGCCTTGGTAGGTCCTCTTCACAGCCCCTTCACTTTCATTCCATTCAACAATATATGACTCACCCTCTTTACTTGTCCCACATGAAAAGAGCCTGCAAAAATTCACCCACCACAAAAGGACAAAAAGGGAAAAGAATTAAATAATCATATAGTCTGCCATCTATCAAAATTTAAAGAAGCAACCCTGTGCTATGTATACTAACCTTGTACCATCAGCACTGTAAGCCATGGTTGTGCACCAGCGACCAGGAGCATCATAATCAACCCGAGATCCCAAATTGTCATACAACCAAGCCTTTATCTTTCCATCCAATGCTGTTGAAAAGATAAACTGAAGCACAAAAGTGAAAAATGAGCATCAGAAAAGGACAGAGTGGGAACCAGAGACAGAATGGAAAGGTGTAATTAGTAAGAATGAAGACCTGAATGTTTTCCTTGTAGTGTGGGCAGACAGAATAAACAGGAGCCTCATGACCTTCAAAAGTATACTGTTTTGCACCGGTCGTAGCATCCCACACCTAAATTTATAAAGGGAATCAGCAAGGAACAGAAAACGTTCTTCCAATTAGACAAGCAAACATGTTAGACAACTAAACAACCTTGATGGTCTTGTCATCCCCGCAGGTAATTACACAAAGCTGTTTATTGGGGTGGGAGAATGCTAGATCATTTACTCCACCAACATGAGCATCAATCTAGGACAGTAATTTCAGAGGTCAGCATCAGTACAGAGTATAGCAAGAAGTGGAAAAGAACTGAAAACAGTATCTTCAATATATACCTCTTGGTGCTGTCGTATATCGTCACCCCCATGATAAGAATATATTTGAACAATGTGCCTTGAGTATGCAACACCTATATTTGGATTGTAAATAATAAATAAATAAAGATCTAATTTACTACTTCAATAATCATAGTGTGCATATCACATTTACCACAGGTACTTCAATATTGTCAAACTTACCAAATAAAGAACCATCAGGGCTCCATATCACACGGTTAACAGATACGCCAGGATCCTTAACTAGAGCAGCCTGAATTTCATGAAGACATTTACTATTCAGTCAACCAAATAATACAACCATAACGAATATAGAACACAGTTTTTTTATGTCATTTATGAACAAGGATAGAAGGGGAAAGACCTGCAGAGGCATGGAACATGAACTAAGATCCCAGACTTTAAAGTTCCTCAAAACTAGTCGCTCCCTAGATCCAACTTCCCACAGCCCTATGTCCCCCACATTAGTACCAACTGCAGCATCACAGGGAGAACAGTCAAACGTCAGAAGATATGAACAGAAAGCAACTAAGGGCCAAACTAACTATCAAACATAGCTCTACAGCCTGAAGGTCTGCAAATTTAAAAAAAAATATGGAGCTATTGTAAAAATACAAACCAAGTAGCAGAGTCTGCTGTAAAGGATGAAAATCCATGCTCATGGGAGATGAACCCTGATTCAAAGTCCGTGTGACATTCTTTGGCAAGTCATCAGGTGCATTCAAAGCTTGACCATGACCATGACCCGGAAATGTTACTGGCAACATGTTAACAGGGAGATTTACCTGATCAAAAGAACATATACCAATAAAAGGTAAGCCAGGAAGAAGATAACGGTCATCGTTCAAAATTTGATCTATACAAACATGTGCATACTTCAGAAGACAGCCCCATGGGCCTTGTTCTTTTAGATACATGATCAGAATCCCCAGACGGGTACTCTACAGAAGGATTAGTTGGGGGAGTCCTTGGATGTTTCAAGGCAGCTGCACAATGTAATGAAACACATCAATCAGAACCATGTCATCAGCATCGTGATAAAACTAAGCACCTCAGTGGTAACAAAAGGATATCTTACCTGTAATTGATGGAGCACCAAGACCAATAGCTCCTCCTTCAGAAGCAGCTGGATGAGTAACAGTGGAAGGATTAGACATCCAACCTGCAAGGGGTATTGGAACTGGGGCTGGTGTAGGTTGAAAAGGCTGAAATGCAAAGCCAAACAAATCAATAAGACCTTTATAACAACATAATTTTATTTCTTTTCTTTCTAAACGAAAGGTAATGTTCAATTCCACACAAGAAGTATTTTTATTACGAGAGTTGCTACTTTAGTAATATATCACCAGTTAAGCTAGATTACCCACCCCATGTGCACCTAGTGGAGGAAATCCTCCGGCTTTTGGTAAGGATCCAAGCAGTGGATTGTTTGCAGGTGATGGAGCCCGAGCACCATTCGGTTGTCCACACGAGTGATCCACAAAGAGAGTTTTTATATCTGGATTTGGTCTTGGGTTCTTACAAAGCTGATGCTGCCAATTTAAGCTTTAATTTGCAGAAGGAAAATTAGTTACCCTCAGCACAACCAGAAAGTCCAAAATTTTCACAAGTAATAGTTCATAGTGTGTAAAACTACTTAGACACCGTTCACCCAAAAAAAAATTCTGACACCACAAGCTGGAACAAGCAGTGATGTGCTAGTGTCAATGCAGCATAACCAACTTTTTGAATAGCAACAATGATAATGTAGTTAACAATACAATTTTGTGCTATTGACTTGATGAAATTTCATTCTGAACCCCATGGAAGACAAATGCACTCACTCCATGCATGAAAACATTAAAATAAGATCACCGCTTGCAACAGCATCCATAAGTCACTGAAGTGCACAGCTAATCTTATCCAACTGAAGTTGCGGTTTCAGAGAAATTACCTTTGGTTAATGAGAGTCCGTAGTCTCGAATTTTTGAGGTTGGGGAATTGCAATTTATCACGGAATAAGGGATTTGCTTCAATCAGTTTCTTAAGTTCAACCAGCATAATTGCCCTGGCAGACTTTGTATCTCCATACTTGGATAGTTGTTCATTCTCCCTATAATGCAAGATACCATTTTTCAGTACATGATGCTACAACTGGTGTTCGACTAAGACTTTATTCATATAACACAATTCTCATACCTAAAATTCTCCAATGTCAGGAGCTGGGTGATTTCCTTGAAAAGTTCTTCATTGAATGTGGCAAAAACCTTTAAATCCTTTACTAGTATATCCACAGCTTTGGACCGATCATGCCTATTAAAGTCCAAACAGTCTCATTTATATGCAATCCAACCACAGAATTCCTCAATGCAGATAAAAATTTCCCATGAAAGTTATGGTTGCAATAAGAGAACTGAACTGAAAGTGAAACATAATAAGCTTACTTGTCCAATGCCTCAAGATACTTCTGTTTCCGTATCTCAAAAAAGATTTTCATGGAATACCGGTTATCGTCCACTTTAGTGAATCCGGACAGGTACTTCTCAACTTCATCCCAATTACCATTATGCACCTCATCCTCAAAATATTTCATATTGAAGAAAAACCCAGATTCCTGCTCCAGCCTATTTACATCAAAATGCAATTAATGATGCAGTATCAATACACAATCAGCAAGTATAATAATAAAAACTCATTAATTAAAAAAATTAAATATATATATATAGAAGGTAGCCCACTTGTGTACAGTCTCTTTGAATTTTTCCTCATCTAGAAACTGTAAGATCAGGAACACAAGCTCCCTGCTGAGAGAAGACATCTTGACCCCTCGTCTTTGATTCCAGAACCAGAAATATCACTAAGATTATAACTAGATCTGCAAAAATAAAATAATATTATAAATCAAATCAATATGAAAAGGGTCAACTTAAATAGCCCAAAACTCAAAATAAAATTAAAAAATTAAAACAAACAGCCAGCAAAAATTCAAAAGGTGCATACCCAGAACTAGATCATACGACTAAAACACCATTTTTACTAATTATTTCAGAAATTTAACTACACATCGACACAAAATTCAGGTTTTATAAAAAAAAGTCATAAAAAATATTAACTTTTTTTAGGATCAAAGAGGCAAAGAAAGCAGCTTTAAGACCCATGTGGAATCGAAGATGCAAAAGAAAAAGGTATAAATGAGCAAACCCCAAAGAAAATATCAACCCATAAATACCCACAAAAAAGGACTTTAAAAGAAATTAAAAGTTAGAGATTCCAAAACAGAGAGAAGCTCTCACCTTGAGAACCAAATCAGAACAAACAACCACACATCCAGAAGACGAAGAAGAGAGAGAGAGACAGAGACAGAGCTCAGAGAAAGCTTTCTCTCTCTAGAAACTTATAGTAAACTCTATTTCTTTCTCTCTCCAGAAATTTTTGTATTTATATATAGAGAGAGAGATAGAGAGAGAGAAAGAGGAGACATTAAACTTGCAGAAATGGGTGATTTTTATAGGAGGCGACAGATAAAGAGGATGATAAGTACTCGTGCTTATCAACTCCTAAAGCAATAGGTTATGGTAGATTATGATAGGTCCTCTTGATATGTACATGAACTTATAAATAGGTACAAATGGGGACGGTCCCACTTAGCCGGCTACATTTGTCGAGTTCATCGGCGCGGAATCTGTAGCTGACAACTGTCCTTCAGCTAATGTAGAACCAGAGCCGGAGAAATAATCAACTACTTCCTCGTTCAGCCTACAAATGCAATATATACCGTTGGATTCATCTAAGAGTATTGACCAGGAAATTTTTAAGATATATCGACGGCTATAATTCAAGTAAAGTCCAGCTGAAAAGGAGGTGAAATTAACCTGGAAAGCGATTTTTACTACCATCAGATCCCCTCAATTAAACGACAGGCTTTCTCGGACGGTCCCCAAAAACGTTCACCCTCAGATTTTGATAGTTATTACAGAGCATGCCACTAGGCCACTCCCGGTACTTATTTATATCACGTGATACAGTGAGACAGGACATGATTGCGATATGAGTTATGAAGTTGCGAAAGATTTGTTAATCTTGGGGGCGATAAAATGCGGGATCGTATCGCGTTATATCGGGATTTGGTTTGAAATTTATTGTGGCAATAATTTAATTGATGGATGGTAATCGAAGATAATGATATAATAAAAGGTGCGGTTTTCTAGTCGTAACGTGGGGTTTTGTCCATCTCAGTCTCAGGAGTACGTAGACCACTAAAGCATCTACTATTTTAAACAAGGAAAATGTCAATCTAAGCATGCCGTCTCTTTCCCTTTCCCTTTTTTTTTTTTTTTATCTTTTCAGAAAATTATATCTGACACACACAACACAAACCATCATGCATGTAAGAAAATAAAATTATCAGATTAAAATATATTTGTATACCTCTTCACATGCGCTTCTGTGTCGGCTTTCTAAAAAAAAATTAAATTTATTTAGAAATTAAAAAAGATAATAGTTAGTTGTGTTCTATAAAAATAGAATTTATTATCTAATTTTTCTTTTAATTTTAATTTTTTTTAATTTGAAAAAGTATAAATTTATCATATTATCCTTATTTAATTAATAATTTCAATTCTTAATATTTGTATTGACCAAAAGCATTTTCTGGTATTTTGAATATTTTACCATTCTTTGTCTTTTATTTTATATATATAGATAGATAAAAATTATATCTGAAAGAAAGGCCAATGAGTAGATAAACAAATATATACAAATTTGAAAAAAGAAAAGGCCAAAAGTCTCACGCTCAGTTGTTGGACGTGGTGTGCACGTGGCACTCGGCAGAGAAACAAAAGAAATTTGGCGTATGCGCTGTGCCAGGTGGGGCTCTTTTTTTTTATTTATTCTACAACTCTTCTACAGTTCAACTGTGGTCACAGTTTTCCATGGCGTAGTGTCTGTTGTGGCCCCGCTTTGGACTTCAATTTTGGAATAATTTCCTAGCGATTTCCAGCTCATAATTTCATTTTATTATTTTATTTTGGCATGCACTGTCGGCCTTTCCTTTGGTTTGGATACCTACCGCCATATCCACATATGAGAATGCCATCAAAGGTTGAAATTCGAGCCTTTCCAAACCAAGAACCAGCCTTCCTATTTCCTAATATGTTCAGAAACCCGCGCAAGAAAATGAGTTACGTAAATACCAGCTTTTAGACATTTGTGAAGAGAGATTATGTCTTTTCTAGATACAAGCGATATTAGGAGAGAGAAGAATCGAAGATAGGATTTCGGTTGTAAAAGTAAATATTTTTAATCACTTGAGTTACAAGAGATCTTATCTTGAGGCCGCATAATTAAGTTCTAACCTCGATTCTCTTAACTTATTATGATGAACCTAGCCCCGTTGATCTTCCTTTTTGTTTCCATCGTCAAAGACCACAGCTTGGTTTATTTTTTCTTTTCTTTTTTTTTTGGTCAAGAACTTTGATTGATTGAGACGCCATAAACTTGATTAAGAAAAGGAAAGGTGTTGGTAATGCCAAGGAAACTCATTACACATTAAAGAAACTCATCTTGAAAGAGACCATTTATCCATACGGCTTGTTTTTTGTTTCAGTTAAACAGAAGAAAACATTGTTTTTGTTTCAGTTAAACAGAAGAAAACAAGTATGAAAGGAAACCGACAATGACTCTTGTATTATTTAATTTCGCAGCTCTTACACAAATTAAGCCGTTTTGTATGGTTAATATTACATGTGAAACATTATAGATGTGACTTAAATCAAGAAGATAGACAGATACAATGAATGTGCATTTTCTTTTTTCCTATAAATTTGTGCACGGATTCTAATATAACAGTTTTTTTTACACTACAAGCGATAATCCGAATGATAGGGGAGGGAGGTTTTTGACACACACTACTAATGTGTCGTAGATTTAAATCTAAGATCACTGGTCTGCAAGTCAAAACCTTTTTTTCACTTAACTAGATCTCGCATTGGCCCATTTTTTAATATAAGGTTATGTAAAAATCAGTATTGAAAGAAGAATTTATTATTGTGCCCTCTTGAAGATTCTTTTAATAATTCTTTTTTATTATATAGAAAAAGCATGGATTTTTGGAGAATTGGGGGGTGATTGTTTTAGCAGAGCATCAAGAGATGGCTTAAAGTTGGAGTAATCTCATGGGCAAATCAAATCTCCACTTGTACTCATTATTTCAATATAAAACAATTACGGCACAACTCTAGTCTAAGATCAACAAACAGACAAATGAACAAAGCAAAAAACCCTAGCTACCAAGTTGGCTGTATAATTGTACTCATTAATAAATCTTACATAGTATCTCACAGATTAAAAAAGCTGCATAATCACTTTGTTTCCAAAAGTTTCACAAGTGAAAGAAATCTAACCACCTCCCTCTTTTATCATCTCAATTATGCCTTTCTATATATCTCGTAATGTCATTTTTCTTTAATTACCTTGTAAAGATCATTTGTGTACTTAATCAAACCGATTTAATCATGTAACTGTTATCAAATAAATAAATGAACAAAATGCTTTAATTAAACAGTGAAATGATCATGATGAGAATCAAATGGCTAAACAGCTTTCAAGTTGTTTGAATTTTTAGTTGAAGAGCGGTCTAAGAAAGAGAGGATTCACGACGCTTGATTGGCGATAGAAATGAAAACAGACAAGAGCAAGAGACAAAAAAAAAGAAAGACTACCGTTCGTTTTTGTGATTTGATCTGTCTTAAACAACTACTTACTATGTGAGAATTATTGCTCGAGTAGTAGAGCACTATAATTAACCAAAAGCAATTGGTTCTTTTAGTATTATTTCGAGCGTAATGAAATAGATAATTCGGAAATCCTAATAGATTGCGTGTGTGACAGTCCGATGCAGGCTCTAGCCTAAGATCCCGAACCAGATTAGGGATTAATAATGTATAAACTAACTCAAACAAGGTAGTATTTAGAGATTAAAATGAGACACGAGTAAAGTTGAAGAAGCATTAATGTGAACTTAACCCTACTTATGTATAGTGGCTTTCACGTTGCATACGTGACAGCTCGCCCAGCTTTTTGACAAGCGTTTGGCGACAAGTCACTTTCCCTCCTACTAATTTCTTTTTCTTATTCGATGACATGTACGTTTTTAGACAAAAGAAAAACAAAAAACGAGATGCATATTTTATAGGGGCAAGCAACTGAGCAAGAGAGTCAAGCTTTAGATCACCAGATCCCGAAATTTTCAAACCAATTTCTCCCATGAATGTCGCGAATGAATGGAAAATTATCAAGAGAAATGAGAACACGCAGAACATTGGTTCCTTCTCCTTCATCCATCCTTTGCCTCTCCTCCTTTTCCTAGTGGTCAGTTGTCAGTGAGAGAGTAGCCCACTAGGTCGGTTTTTTTTATTGGGAAAGTGGTGATCCTCTCTATCAATGACTTTTTCTATTTTTCTTTATTTTTTCATTTGTTGGATAAAGACTAATCTATGGCAACTTTGGGTCCAGGGCTCAGGAAGATTTGTTTAAAAAATAATAATGTAATGTAACATGTTTTGCTAAAGCAAAATAATATAATATTATTATATGGTCTTTTTCCCTCTGCATTATGCAAGAGAGCGATGCTCGCGTAAACCCTAACCCTACCCCAGCCCACCCTCCCCAAACCAAACCCTTTTTTTTTTGTTGGTATGGCCATGGTCCCCTACCTTTTTTACATTCAATAGTATTATCCAGTATGCTACCACAACAATAACATTTCAATTAAACATGATAACACATTCGTTGGCCATGTAGCAGAGCTGTTTTCTTCCTAGGTTAGGCCCTAATCGTCGGGTCATACAAAGATTTACCTAATCATTTGTGGGGGCTTTTTCATTCCGGCTGCTACAGATGGGCTTGGGCTGCTGTAAAGAGTAAATGGATGGATCTGCTCCTGTGTTTAAGTTCAAGAATCAGGCTCCAATAGTGTTTCGAAAGGTTCGTGGAGCCTTAGGAAACACATTGGCTTCCTTCACCAACAAAACCAACAGTTGCTTACAGATAAATATTTAAGCTTGACATGAGAAGTTTGTGGTATGAGAGCTGATAATTTATGAGTTTAGCATGAGAGATAGAAGGCTTGGGTTTCCTATGAGAAACAAAGGCTTGAAGTAAGGGGGAGAGAGAATGTTGAGAGGATTTGTTAAGGGAAGAGAGGAAAGAATGAAGGAAGAGGAATGGGTGGCTTGAGCAAGTTTCCGGCAGCTTGACAAAAGCTTCGTCAAGCTCTTGTGTGGCTTGACAGAAGAGAAAAAAGGGAAGCAATGGAAGAACGTGGCTTGAAATTGAAGGGTTCTAGAGGTGAGAGGTGATGATTGCTCTCTCTAAATGTGTTTATGGGAAAGAGAGGAAGAAGATGGAAGCATGGGTAGCTTTAGCTGATTTCCAGCAGCTTGACGAAAGCTTCATCAGGCTTTGGAATGGCTTGCCAGAA